CCCCAAAACCCCAAAACCCCAAAACCCCGCAATATATTATAAAGATATTTAAAAAGATATTTGGAAATGAAAATATTTATATAAAACTACTACTAATTTATCTATTAATAAGATTTCAATAGTGTTTATGATCTACTAATCTAAATCCTCATAGGTCTTCGTGGTCTTCTTCATCACCAGCAGCACCTTGGCCACCAGTCTTTTGATAAACCTTTGAGATGATTGGGTCACAGATGCTTTGGAGATCCTTAAGTTGGCTCTCTAATTCTTCTTTCTCTGCTTCTTCGTGGGAGCTTAGCCAATCTTGAGTCTCTTGGAGGGCATCCTTGATCTTGGTCTTATCTTCAGCTTCGATCTTGTCGGCTAGCTTTTCCTTATCTTCAATAGTGTTTCTCATTGTGTAGATATAGTTTTCGAGTGAGTTCTTGGCATCGATTCTCTCCTTGAGTTCCTTATCTTGATCAGCGAATTTCTCGGCATCTCTAATCATGGCATCAATCTCCTCTTTGCTGAGTCTACCCTTATCGTTGGTGATAGTGATAGTTTCTTATTTGCCAGTACCTTTTTCAAGAGCGGAAACACTGAGTATACTGTTCTCATCAATCTCGAATGTAACTTCGATTTATGGAACACCTCTTGGGGCAGGTGGGATACTAGTGAGATCGAATTTACCGAGTAAGTGGTTATCCTTGGTAAGTGTTCTCTCTCCCTCGAAGACTTGAATGGTAACAGTGGTTTGTTGGTCTTGATAGGTGGTGAAAGTTTGGGATTTCTTGGCTGGGATGACAGTACCTCTGTTGATAATCTTGGTCATAACACCTCCAACAGTCTCAATACCTAAGGTAAGAGGGGTCACATCAATCAAAAGAATATCCTTGGTCTCCTCTGAAGTTTCACCTCCTAAGATACCTCCTTGGACGGCAGCACCATAGGCGACGGCTTCATCTGGGTTAATACCTCTGTTTGGTTCTTTACCATTGAAGAAATCCTTAATGAGTTGTTGAACCTTGGGGATTCTAGTTGAACCACCAACGAGTACGACTTCATCAATATCAGTCTTTTTCATTCCTGAGTCATCAAGAACTTATTGAACTGGTTGAAGGGTCTTCTTGAATAAATCATTACAGAGTTCTTCGAATCTAGCTCTGGTAATGGTCTCGCTGAAATCAATACCGTCAACAATATTCTCAATTGAAACTTTAGTTTGATGAACACTTGAGAGATCTCTCTTGGCCTTCTCAACTTCTGACTTTAGCTTTTGGAATGCTCTAGCATCGTCCTTAATATCCTTGTTGTGCTTCTTCTTGAATACCTTAACGAAGTGTTCAGTGAGTCTTTGATCGAAATCTTCTCCTCCAAGATGGGTATCTCCACTGGTGGCAACGACTTCGAAAACTCCATTATCAATGGTAAGAAGGGAAACATCAAAAGTACCACCACCAAGATCGAAAACGATGATGTTCTTCTCTCCTTGCTTCTTGTCCATACCATAGGCAATAGCGGCGGCAGTTGGCTCGTTGATGATTCTAAGAACATCAAGACCAGCAATAAGACCTGCATCCTTGGTGGCTTGTCTTTGAGAGTCATTGAAATAGGCTGGGACAGTAATGACGGCGTGCTTAACGTCTCTACCTAAATAAGCCTCAGCGATTTCCTTCATCTTGATCAAGATCATTGCTGACACTTCCTCTGGTGAAAGAGTCTTTTCCTCACCTCCTTGGACTTGAACCTTAACGTATGGTTTGCCGCCCTTGTTGACAATATCATATGGTAACCATTTCTTGTCTCTTTGGACTTCCTTGTCATCATATGCTCTACCAATAAGTCTCTTTACGACATAGACTGATCTCTTGGGGTTAACATGAGCTTGATTCTTAGCTGCTTCTCCGACTAATCTCTCTTCGTCAGACCAGGCGACGAATGAGGGGGTGATTCTGTTTCCAAATTCGTTTGGAATAATCTCGACTCTTCCATTCTTAAAGATACCTACGCAAGAGTAGGTAGTTCCAAGATCAATACCAATGACTGGTCCTTCAACTATTGAGATGATTAGTATTAAAACAATGACTGAGCTTACCTTCCTTCTTTTTGGTTGGTCCGCAAATGAATGCGAGGGCTAGTACTGAAATCAGTAAAATGTGATTGAAACACGTTCTTTTCATTTTAAATTGATTAACAAATTAAAGAATAAAGAATCTTTTATACTTGATTATAACACGTGTCTTATTGAATACCTTTGTTGATGTATTTTCTAGATTACTTTAAATTTATAGAAATTTCTAGATTTTCGGGGTTTTGGGGTTTTGGGGTTTTGGGG